CCACAAAAATCACCTAGTCAGGCATTTCTCAGAACGTATCTGCATCATCAAATGTTGCCTGGCCGCACCTCTGGTTAAGGGATGACAAACAGAGGTGGTGTGCATCACTTAAGAATGGTGCAAGTTTCCACTGCTCTTCCCTGCAGCCCCTTGAGGTCACATAATAGGATGCTGTCACCACTAGGCAGAGGGTGCTGAAGCTAAGCCAGTGATGGAGCTGTCTCTGAACTTCAGGGGAAGCCAAGTTTTAAAAACATAACCCTCAGAGACCTGCCATCAGACCACATGAAAGAAGAAGGAAAAATCTCTCTTCTACTTGGACACTGAGATTTGGGCGGCTATTCATCACTGAGTCGTGGTCTGGCCAGGAAACAGATAAGCATCTTAAATTGAAGAAAATGCTTCTCTAGAAATTTATTAATCAGATTGACTCCTCAAGAATGTAGAAGTATGTCTCCCAAAGAGGAGGGTGAAGGCAGGCAGGGAGTATGTTTGTACAGACCATAGCAACGGACAACAACCTTTGTACTAAGAATCAGGCATATTTTGGCATAGATCTCTTATTTCAACCACAAAGTTTATTCTAAACCAAACAGAAGGCAAATCTCAAATAATATCTCCTTTTTATATGTGGATGTTTAATAATGCTCTTTCCCCCTCTTCCTGTAGATGTCAATCACACAAACGAGACTAATGTGGATGGAAGTCTTGTACTTCCAGTCCTTTCCTACAGCTCCACTCACACATTAAATAATGCAAGATTTCTAGACTGTACTGTCTTGGTGACTATTATTTTACTTTAAGAAATCTCATCAATCCTATCTTGGGGTTGGGGTTACCAAAGATACAGTTAAGTATTACATTTGCTGCTATAATGGGGGAAATTTTTTGAAATAACAAATCTCAGAGCATCTAACACAGCTTAAAAACTCCCTAATCCAAAGGGATCCGAGGAAAACAAAAGCATCTCAGAGGGAGGAGAGTTTCCATCCAGAGTTGACTTACCCCAGAAGCTGCTAACTTGGTAAGGGAATTTCTCTTCTCATGCTAACATTTCCATGAAGTAATTAGGGAATTGGAATTTAGTTCTGCATAGAAGGTGATTTCAGATTTTTGCGGTTTGTCAATAAAACATACAGATGTTGCACGATAAATTGGGGGTATTTGGGCGCTATACTCTTGCAGTATCCCTAAGGACCATTCTTGGAATGATCTTGTTCACTAAATGTGCTAAGCAAGTTTATGAGAGGTTGATTCATACAATGTCTTGCCTAAAGTATTACCCAACCCCATCTACTTTCCCTAGAGTTTTGAATTTCTCCACCATGGGACAATGAGAACATTTCCTAAATCTGACTCAAATTTCTCTCTTCCTGCATTACACTTTTAGCTTCTCCCTAGGGCGCTTTATCATCTGACCCCAACTCTCCTCCTACTTAGCCTCACCTCACTTCCGTCCTGTTTTGAACCAATCACAGCACACACACCCCATTGTCAGCTTCTTCAGTTTTCCCTGCCTCTGTACATGCTGTCTCCACTCCTTCCTCCCCTTCATCAGATGGAGGTTCATTGTTAAGATGCAGCTCACTGGGCTGGGTTGTAGAATGATAGAGCACTTGCCTAGCACTCGGAGATAGACAGCTTGCCTAGTGCATGTGAGGCACTAGGTTCAATCCTCAGAACCACATAAAAAATAAATAAATAAAAATAAAGGTATTGTGTTCATAAAAAAATGATGCAGTTCATATTGTTATTACCAGCAACCAGCATTAATAAGCACACCACAAGCTCTGAAAAAAATATTTATAAAGGTACACTGTAAAAATTGTAAATAGTGTGTAACCCACTGAGTAACCATTTTTAATCACCATTTGTTGAATATTAGGCTTTTGATAACTGGTTCAGTTCTTGGTGAACAAGAAGGAATTCTCTATGACCTATCACCATAAAGGCTCACTCAACTACAAAGGAAGAAAACAACTTCCAAAAGTCACATGGTTCAAACCCAGCTGTCCATGAACTTCAGGGGAAGTCAAATTTTAAAGGCATAAACCTCAAACATTTAAAATGGGGCTTACTCAAAGGCAATACAACCACAGTGACTAAAAGAAAATGAGTCAGAAATGTTTGCTGCTGTTTTTAGTATTTGTTTCTCTTAAGGAGGTTGAAAAATACCCCTTTCTCTGCAAATATTTTTAAAATAAGCAAGTAGATTGGGCGCGATGTCGCACACCTGTAATCCCAGGAGCTTGGGAAGCTGAGACAGGAGGATCGCAAGTTCAAAGCCAGCCTCAGTAACAGTAAGGCCCTAAGCAACTCAGTGAGGCCCTGTCTCTAAATAAAATACAAAAAAGAGGATGTGGCTCAGTGGTTGAGTGCCCCTGAGTTCAATCCCCAGTACACACACACATACACACACACACACATACACACACAAAGGCAACTAGTTTTTCCCTGGGCCCAGAAAACTTAGTTGTCATAAGATTAAAAGGCAAATTATACACACACACAAATACACACACACACACACGACTGTAAAGCAGAAAATTACATGTTTAAAGAATTTACTGTCTAATAACATATACAGTAGTACCCCCTTTTATCAGTATGTCTGTATATGGGTTGTAGAGAACATATTTCCCAACACTTAGAACAATGCTTAGCACCTAATAGTTGCTCCACAATTGTGTAGAACTTCAAAGTCCATTAGAACTGAGATTTATTCCAAGTGAAATAGGAAGTTTGAAGAGTCTTGACAAAGAAAAGTAACCTGATCTGACTTAACATTCAGAAGAATCACTTTGGGTTACTGTTTTTGCAATAGTCCAGGGTGGTAGCAATGGAGGAGGTGAAAAGTGTTCAGAGTCTGTATGAATTCTGAGGCTGGACCAACAGATCCTGATGGTGAAAAGGATTCAGAGTGCACCATAATGAAGACTAAGTTAGGAAGGAGATCTGTGTGTGGGGTGTGGGAGAAGCTAAATTCAATTTTAGGCTGATTTGATTTCAACATGACAATAGTACTCACCATTTAAAATGTCCATGGGCAATCAAAGAAGTGAGATCTCAGATGAGAACAAGCCCCAAACACAGATACTCAATTCATCAGCACATGAGTAAGAGATGAAATGATTAGTGTGGCAATTGAGGCCAGAGTTTCCACAACAAAGCAGATTTCAGGAGGACTTTTATAAGAAGCCAATATTCTATCATCAAATCCATGCACTGTTCAAATCTCATTAATCCCTACTTCCACTCTGGCTTCCTGTAATCAACCCCACCTTGTCCCCCATCCCCAAAATAGAATTCAGAGTGCTGGAAACACCTTACATCTGGGGTCTGTCTGCCTTAAATAGGAGGTTCCCCTCCTTACATAGCAAGTAGAGCCATCAGGCAGAAAAAAAGGCTTTGAATAGAATTTGCCGAATAACCCAGGGGCAGTTTACTTAATGTGTCTGGGTTAGGGTGCTTGATCTGTACCATGGAAAGGATTGGACTAGATGATATATAAAGTTCCATTCCTCATCTCACAGTTGTTTTTTGTTGTTGTTTGTATGTTTGTTTTTTTCATTTAGATCAGATTCTTTCTGAGCTCTGCCTTCTCAGGAGTCCCTTGGGCTTCCTGGTTCACCCTTTAATTAATCAGGGCTTCTGAAGTGGAGGGTGGCTCAGAGAACAACTAGAACTTTTCCTTCTAGTGTCTAGTAGGTTCTCTCTTTGCTCCCTTTTAAAGAACCAGCACTGGACATTCCTTCATCAAGAATTCAGAAAAAATAAAAATCAGCTCTTTTTTTTTTTTTAATCACAAAGGACCTGGGTTCTCTCCACCACTTTTTAAAGTAACTGCTTGTTACCTAGTCTCAGAAAATTGAGAGTAACAAATCCTAGTGTACGTATTTACCCTTTTTTATTGCCCTGTGGCCTTAACTTTGAAATTTTAAAAAGCATTTTTTTCACAGTGCTTAACACAAATGGCACTAGCATTTGGTGGAACAAATTAAATTATTGTTTTAGAAATATCCTGTAAGTACTGAGAAGTGCCATTGTTTGTTACAGTTTTCTGTCTTGGTAGCAAACTGTTTCTCTGTTCTCATTAAAACCATTTCAACTAGCTTCCCCTCACCACTCTAAAGACTGAATTCACAGGGACCAGCAGATTTCCAAACCATTCTTCACCCTCTACTTACCTTAAATTCCAGTTAGCATCTTTTTTTCTGCCTGATGGTTCTACTTGCTATGTAAGAGGGGAACCTCCTATTTAAGGCAGACAACCCGAATGTAAGGTGTTTCCAGCACTCTTAATTCTATTTTGGGGATGGGGGGCAAGGTGGGGTTGAATACAGGGAGCCAGGGTGGAAGTAGGGATTAATGAGATTTGAACAGTGCATGGATTTGATGAGAGAATATTGGCTTCTTACAAAAGCCCTCCTGAAATCTGCTTTGTTGTGGAAACTCTGGCTTCAATTGCCACATTAATCAGCACGCAAATGTTAACCTGGTGTCCGTTTCTCTAATTTCTGAGCAATGACTCCTAGGTATATATTTATAAAAATTCATTCTGCTGCGTCTAGATATCTTCAGAGTAGGAGACTTGCGAAAAGGCAGGAGAGTGTACTAAAACATAATTCGGGTTGGGGTGGAGGGCAACGTGGATTCCACTGGCTGGGGGCGAACAGGAGAGGATCAAGTAGGACCTGGCACTGATTTTCCGGTTGCTAAGGTCGCCGGCCTCCTTGGTTACCGCTCTAGGTAAGGTGCTCCGCCAACAGCCCGGTCGCCGCGGAATCCCGCGCTCTGCAGGAAGCGCCACCAAATGGCACCGGAGAACACGTTCCCTTCCTTCCCGCCATCCCAGCCCAAGGCCCAGGTTCCCGTTAGGAGTCACAAACACGGGGACTTTGCAAAGCGATCTCACCGACGCCTGTCCCAGAAAAGCCCCGCGAGGAATGGGCGGGGATCTACCGCGGGGCGAGTCCCGGGGGCCTCCCACCCCGACTCACGTTGTACTCTTTCGCCCAGGAGTCTATCCTGTCCTGCAACCGTCGTAAAGTTTCGTTCGAGACCAGCCTCCTCAGGTTTTCCGCCATCGCTGGCTTTTCTACGCGGCTCGGCTATGGGAGACAGACGTGGAGGGGCCGAAGCAGTGGCCTCCGTAGGACCGCCGCGTGGTGTAGCGGGAGGGTTGATATCTTCCAGGGGGGCTCAGATAGCAGCTGGTGTTTCCATCCTCCCCTTCGGGTCGGACCGGGCAGGGTTCGGGATGCCAGTGGGGGGTGCCCTGGGCCGCAGCTGTCGCGCCTCATCCGCTGCCCGGCGCGCCCTCCTGGTTCCCCCGCCGCCGCCGCCCGCGAGCCCCAGCCATTTATATACCCTGGCGATTATTAAACAAAACTTGACGTGGGCGGGCGGCTGCCAGGGACGCCGCGTCGGGGCAACGCTCTTGCCACCCCGCCCCGCCCTGCAGCGCCCGGCCTCTGGACTCAGCCACTATGCGCCACGCCGCTGCTCCTGAGGCTGCTTTTCCTCCTGCTCCTGCTTTTGTTGCTGCTTTGGGTGCAGTGGGGCGAGGGCGAGGAGGGCCAAAGCCACCCGGATTCGGGATCGGGCAGGGAACTGGAAGGCTCCGAGATCCGAACCGAGGCGGTGCGACCCCTCGATGGGTCCAGACCGATGGCAGTGCTGATTGAGGTGGCAGGAACCCTCCTCCGCACGCCAGACTCTGGGTGACAACACGTGCCAAGCAAAAGTTAACCCTCCATGGACTTTTTTTTTTTTTTTAGACTTTCAGGAAATCACTTCTTTGGCCCTTGCTTTATTCTTTCTCCTCTCAAACCTTTCATGCATCTGCAGCCTCTTGGGATTTGCCTGTAGGAAACTCACTGGAACTAAAACTTCTATATTTTGCTTTATTTTTTTAGCCCACAGGGTGGGTGTCCAAGTTGATGGCACTAGGAGGTTCACAAATTAGAACCGATCCCTCAGGTTTGGATAGGATTTGGTAGTATGTGCGAGCATATTCAATTGTGCCATTACAGCTTCATTTAATTATGAATTTCTTAAATGAGACTTAGTAAAAGTTCCCACCGCGATCTGTCACAATTTCAAAAGAATGCATTCAGCCACAGTGAGTTGTAGCTTGAACTATTAAATTAAATCATTTCAACCATTAACATGTTAGAAGAAATCTCTTGTTTTATATACTATCAAATGATGTGCTGATTGCAAATCACCTGTCCATTAAATCATGGAGGTGAAGCTAACAACTTTAAACTCGGTTTCATTTCTTTAGGTACTTGAGAGGAAATTGAACATTGTGTATATCAGATTACCATAAAATTCAGAATTTGCACCACCTCTTGTTTTTATTCCTTTTAATTGCAGTGGTTTTAATGTTCAATAATGAAAATGAAAGGTTCGTTTCTGGAGTCTGCATTCCTGCTAGTTTTTGTACACCACAAAATTGGGTGTGTCACAAAATGTTGGTGTGTCACAGTAGAAAAATTACTAAAGTAAAAATAAAAAATCCTACTCATTAAACATCTCCTTCCTAAAATGTGGGAGCAGGGAAGAAGGAAAGGAATGGAGGAAAAACAGATTTCTTAATTTGGAACCAATTGCGTATTCCAATAGGTAACAGGAATCTGAGCATTCCTGCTTACTTATAATAAAAAATGAACCGGGACAGTTGTTTATGATAAATTAGAGGCTAAATCCTTTTTCCTTGCTCTGAGCACTTTAATTAGCCTGTAATCCTTGTTTCATCATCTGTAAAAACACAATAGTTCTTACTTCATAGAGTTATTATGAGCCCAAATAAGATAATTCATGTAAAGTACTCAGCATAGAGTTTGGCAGTACTCAAAAAATTCTACAATTGGTATTACTAGGAATTTTGATCACAGTATTATATTAAATAAAACTAGGTTGAAATTATCCAAATTTCCAATAACAGGATGATGTTTGAGTAGATCATTCAATGAAATATTGTATAAAAAAGTCTTATTGAGGAACATTTAATATCTAGAAATTCTCACTATATAATATTAAGTGAAAAAGCAGGACATTACATTATATATTGTGTTAAATTATATAATACAAAAACAAGGTGTTAGCTCCTTTATAGTTTTCCAAACTTTTACCATGAACATCAATTGCTACTATGAATATTTATCAGAAAAAGTTAGCAAAAACTTTACCACTCCTAGAAAAATGTTAGCCAAAATATGAATGGTTAAGCTGGTGATTTAAAACAGAATATGTTTTAAATCATATGTTCAGAAGAGAAATGATTAGATTATGAAAGCTGTAACCTCACTGGTAGATTAATCTATTGATGGATTAATCATTTGAATGGATTACTGGGTGATAACTTTATGCAGCTGGAACATGACTGGAAGAAGTAGGTCAGCTGGGGTATGACTTGGGTTACATCTTCCCATGGCTCCTCCCTGTCTCTCTGCTTTCCTGATACCATAAGCTGAATATGACTTCACCAAATGTCCTTGTTACTAATTTAATTATTAGACTTACAGTGACTTAAGACAGAACGATATTTTGATATCACCCTAGAATATGCTACCTGATGTCATTTATCTCCTCATATGCTGTAGTTCCACAACTAGACTCAAAATCCTCAAGATACTTAAAGCCTGAAGACTTGCAGTACTTAAAGCCTGCAGTACGTCTTGGTTACCCTGGAACTCAGGAGCATGCATTGTACATAAAAGGACCTTTGTGTTTATTGATAACAGAAATGGGCCTTCCATTCAATGACTCAAAATAAGGGGAATGTTCCACAAACTGTTCATCCACACTACTTCCTAAAAAAAGTATCTGAGATGGCTTACAGTGAAAGACTTGTAGAAAATATCAGTTAGAAGTTTTTTAAAGGAAAAAGCAAATATTCCCTAAATTTGTGTGAAAGATTGAACCTCATTTCGCATTCATTCAATTAAGCCCAGGCAGAAAGAAAAATGAATTTTATGATTATGATTATTTGATTCTTAAAGTACATGCCTCTTCTTTGAATGGAAACATTTTCCTGGTACCAATTCTAAAATATGTTTATCTTTTTAAAAACATTATAGAACAATATAGTTGAAAGGTGCTTTAATAATCATTTTTAAGAAAATATAGAACCAAGTCAGGCACAGCGGTGCAGGCTTGTAATCCCAGCGACTCGTGAGGCTGAAGCAGGAAGATTGCAAATTCAAAGCATCAGAAACTTAGTGAGGCCTTAGGTAACTTAGCAAGCCTCTGTCTCTGAATAAAAAAATCAAAAGGGCTGGGAATATGGCTTAGTAGTTTAGCGCCACAGGTCAATAATCAATTTGATTATTTTAGGATATATGTATATTATACAGGTACTATTTTATATATATATATATATATGAACATGTCTCTCATATATATATATATATATATATATATATATATATATATATATATATATATATGAACAATCTTGATGTGATTGTTTCTTGAAGCTGCCTGTGATCAATGTGAAGAGGGTATCCCTAGAACACTTCCATCAAAAACCACGTCAGGCAATTGATGACCCATTTCTTAGCTCTCAGATGGTGTTACTTGATACAAGCATAGAACTTCCATGCCCATAGCGGATTTCTAAGTGCCCTTAATAAAGCTCCCCTCTGAACAGTTTTCAGTGGGCACTGAATAGCAATCAATTTAAGAGAAAGCAAGATCTCAGAATGCAAATATCTGAAGTTGCTGGTTACAAAAGAGCCCATATGCTTTGAATTATAAGAATGCATTCAACCTTGGAAATTACATCTCACCACCACTGCCTCGGATGCTGGACATGGAACCATGGCACCTAAAGTTTGCCCTGCTAGGTTTCCATCTTGCTTTGGTCTCATCCCTTCTTTCTATGCCTTTATTCTTCTTTTTTGGAATGGGAACATTTACTCTGTGCCATTGTATATTGGATGTATATAACTTGATTTTTATTTTTACAGGGGCTCACAGCCACAAGTTTGCCTTGAGTCTTGGAGGAGACTTTGGACTTGAGCAATGCAGGAACTGTTCAGTCTATGGGAACTCTTGGAAAAATACTAAATACATTGCACTGTAAGTACTAAATACATTTGCACTGTAAGTACTAAATACATTGCACTGTAAGTACTAAATACATTGCACTGTAAGTACTAAATACATTTTCACTGTAAGATGGAAATGAGTTTGGGGGGCCAAGGGGGGAATGTTATGGTTTGCATCTTGGATGTCCCCCCAAAAGCTCATGTATTAGGTAATTCAAGAATGTTCAGAAGAGAAATGATTAGATTATGAAAGCTGTAACCTCACTGGTAGATTAATCTATTGATGGATTAATCATTTGAATGGATTACTGGGTGATAACTTTATGCAGCTGGAACATGACTGGAAGAAGTAGGTCAGCTGGGGTATGACTCGGGTTACATCTTCCCATGGCTCCTCTCTGTCTCTCTGCTTTCCTGATACCATAAGCTGAGCATCTTTCCTTTCCAACGCCCTTCCACCATGATGTTCTACCTCACTCTGGCCCAGAGCAATGGAGTTGGCTGACCATGAACTTTGAAACCATGAGCCCAAAATAAATTTTTCCCTCTACTTTGTTTTTATCAGGTATTTTGGTAATAGTGACCCAAAGTTAGCTAACAGAAACAAATTTAGAACATGGACACCGTTGCTTTATTTTACACTCTATTTGTGAATTAATGACTTTATATGTTATTAACCACTATGAGTCACATTTCTTTCATCTATAAAATGAAAAGCATGGACTAGATGAGTTCTAAGATCTCTTGTAGTCCTGACATTCTTTAATGCTATTTTAACTTTTTATATGTTCAGGATCGAACACACCTTGCCCCTTGTTTCCATTTTTGATTCACAGTTTAGTTTGGACGCAGTCTTGATTCTGAGTTTTTGCTAATCACCAAATATGTTGCACTTTTAATAAATTTAGGCCCAGCTCCACTGACAGATTTCCTAACCCCCCAACCCCTAGAGCTCTTCACTCTTCTTCATATTTTCTCTAACTTTTAGACATTGTCACATTACATAATACTTATTTGTCTGCCTTCTCTATAAGCCTGTGTGTTTCTTGAAGGAAAGGGCAAAGGCTTATTCAGCACAGCCACTGGCTTATGAGAAAGGAAGGAAGGGGAGGAAGAAGGGAGACAGGAAGGAAGGCAGGAAATGATTGGCTGAATTATATCTGATGTCATAATCCCACTGAGGTAGAAAAAATTTACCAGACAGTTATTCATCCTTAAGCTGTCATAATTCTACCTCACAGCCAGAAATCATTTGTTCTAGAGAAGTATAATGTGTCAAATATTTAACCTGGCAA